GGCAACCTGCAAGCGGAATCTCTCCTCAGGGACCTGGTGTAAGGATTTGCTTGGAAGACTTGAAACCTCTTTCCTCCTGTGGCTGTGAAGTTGTACTGTACTGTTAGCCACTCCAGAATTCCCACCTGTTCTGGGAAGACTGTCAGGCTGTTAACCGAAAGATAGTGGAGGTGGTTTTGTGCTTTCAAGTCAGAACCGACTCAAAGTTGACCCTCCAGCGGGTTTTCAGAGGCTGTAAATTGTACAGGAGGGGATTGCCTGTCTTTCCCCTCAGGGCGGCTGGTGGGTTTAAAACACCTTCCTTTGGGTTGGCAGCACAGTTCCTTACCCACTAGGCCATCAGAAGCAGTTCAAATGCACCCGTCTTTCTGAAGGAGAAAGGTGAGACCATCTCCTCCTGTAAAAAGCCTCAGAAACCTGGTGGAGTCTCCTGGGAGTCAAGACAACACACCTCCATTCTGGTTCTAGGGTGGACAGGCATCCTAAGAGCTCCCTAGTGGACACCAGACCCCAGCTGATATCTGAATAGCAGTCAGGTTAATTTTTTTGACATGCTGTGGTCAGCTGCAGGTATTGCCAGCCTGTCTCAGGCCCCCAGACGTCCCCAAGACATCACTGAAGGTGTAACATGAATGTAGGCAGCATGGAGAGGACCATATCTGACTTTAGCCAGCTCCACAAAGGGGAATGTCCCCATCAACAACAGCCACTCCACAAACCAAGTCCTTTAAGGTCAGACATGGCCGTCCACACTCCTGTATCTGCTTCTACTAATCCTGGCACTACTCCTACTGCTCTGCTAGTCTGAAATCCATTGCAGTGACCACTCAGACTTAACAGAACCATCCTTGTGGTTATGGGGTTTACTAGGGAAGTGAACAGGTTACAGTGCAGGCTGGCCACAGGTCCAGTTCCTTAGTCAGACTGCTCAGTTGTACTCGCAGGCCCTTAGACCTTCAGCTTCTGGGTCCGGGCGCATTACAGAGTTCCCTTAGGTTCTAGTTGTGGTAGCTTAGTCCTCTAGCAAGTGTGGCTTCCATGAGGCGATATGAGGAACAGCAGCTCCAAGGCTACTCTGTCTCGTGTTGGTCTCTCATTCTCCATGGAGGCTGCTTCTACTCATGTGTAATTCCTGTCCAACTGGCCTAGGAATCTCTGGCCTCTTCTTGGTATCAGTGAGATCCCCACCTTTGCTGCTAAATCTACTCACTTGCACTTGGTGGGAGGGGGAAAGCTGACCAGTCCTGTAATGATTCCTTTATATGCACCCTATTCACAGTCCTTCTTATTTAAGGCAGAAGTCAAAGTTGAAGGCTAAGAAAGCCATTCTGAACAGTTAGACCTTGACACCACAGAAAGCCATGTCTGAAAGCCATGTACTCTTTACAGAGATGTTGGACCCTTCACTGCACAAGAAGATTTGATTAACATGAAACTTAGAACAAGAGCCACTCTGCAGGCTTCTGATGGCTGGCTTAGTGGAGTACCTTATTTCTGTAATAGCCACACTGGCAGCACAAAGATGTTGCTTTCAGGACAGAGGTGTGCTTGACCCAAGCCGTGGTCCTTTCAGTCACCTCATATGCCCATTCCAAAGAAAGCTAACCCAACACAATGTGGAAGTTGTTAAACAATATTATTAACATCACACTTGAGAAAAATCTTGCTAAAGATAGTTTTAAAAAACGGCTGTAAGGAGAGCTCTGGTGGCCTAGTGGCAAGAAGCTGCACTGCAATCTCAGAGGTACACGGATCAAATCCAACAGATGCTCTGCTGGAGGAGGGCAATCTCCTTCTGTACCAGTCAGATCTGATTTCACGGTACACACACAAAAAAATAATAAAAAATTTAGAATAAAAAAAAATGCCTATAATAAGATGACAGCAGGAAACTGCCACAATTCAAACTGAGTTCAGAAGAGGAAGAGGCGTCACTGCTGTCAGTTGTTCTTGACTGAAAGAGAGAAGATAGATGTGTTTACCTGTTTTATTGACTATGCAAAGACATTTGACTGTGAATCATTGTTATAACAAATATATTATAAATTATGGATCAAATTGTGAAGAATAGGAATTCTAGAACAATTGTGCTCATGCAGATTCTGTAAATAGACCAAGAAGCAGTTGTTCAAACAAGACAGAGATGCCCTAAGGTCTAAAATCAGGAAAGGTGTGAGTCAGAGTTGAATACCTTCAGCGTACCTAATTCAGTGTGTATTCTGAGCAAATATCTCAAGAAAATGGACTAACAAGGAAGAAGAATGGTGTCGCCTCCTTCCCGTTCTGTGACAGGCAGATGACAGTCGCGTCACATGGTTGCTAGTTGTGAGGAGGAAGTGAAGCACTTACTCATAAAGATCAAGGATTGCAGCCTTCGGTATGGTCGATATTTCAACATAGTGAAATAAAATCCTTACAGTGGGACTAATTAACATAGAAAAGACTCAAAGTGTGAAGAATCTCATTTTACGTAGATCCACATGCTACACCCATGGAAGCAACAGTTAAGAAACTGGACAACATACTTCATTGGACAAATCTTCTACCAGGAAGCTGTAAAGTGCTGGACAGCAAGAACGCTGTTTTCAAGATTTTGGCATGTTTCAACTCGTTGGCGTTAAGGAAGCAGTTGAGATCCTGATGGAAGTTTGCAGAGCAAATAGGTTTTCCTGTTCAAGGATGCACAGCATCCCCGCCGGTGTCAGTCGCCAGCCCCACAGCGGAGCGGCACTCTCCCATTTCCCCTTTATGTTTCCCACGTCTGTTTGCCCTCCTTTCCTTGGCCTGCCTGCCTTCTGAGCTTTCTCCCTGGGCAGATGCTGCCCTTTGATCTCGTCTAGGTGGTCCTTCTAGGGAGTGTGTTCTGCCCTGATGATACCATTTGCCTTGCAGGCTGTTGTTGGGCCATCATTCTTCTTAGAAAACCCCCTCTCTGTCGAGTCTGTTCTGACTAACCGTCCGTGGAGTTTCCAGCGTCGTAATGCAGAGACAGCACCCTCCTCCTTCCTCAGAGTGACTGGTGGATTCAAACCGTAGGACTTCCCGTTAGCAGCCCATCTCGTAACATGCTATGCCAGCAGGGCTCCCAGGCTTCTCTCTTGTTGGCCAGGGCAATGGCTCACAGGAGCGTAAAGGGGGGTCTGCCAGCTTGTATTCGTACAGGTGTTGTGTTTCCGAGGTTGGGATTGCACTTTGTGTGCACACTTCAGGTCTGCACTCTTGTTCTAGTGTAAGCATCGTCTCAAGTGACACCCTCGCCTCTCCTGCAGTCTTCTCACCTTAAGACATCAACAGCTTACAACCAGAAGATAAAATAGATGAATGGGACCTTCTAAGAATCAAATCCCTATGCTCATTCAAAAACTTCTCTAACAGGGTAAAAAGGGAAGCCACAGATTAGGAAAAAGTACTTGGTAATAACATGTCAGATAAGGGACTTATATCCAGAATTTATAAAATACTTGAGCACCACAACAAGGTAAAGGTAAATCATCCAGTAGAAAAATGGGCACAGGATATGAACAGACACTTCACCAAAGAAGACTTTCAGACAGCTAACAAGCACATGAAGAAATGCTCAAAATCCCTAGCTCTAAGAGAGATGCAAATCAAAACAACTATGAGATATCGTCTCACCCCAGTCAGAATAGCAAAATTTAACAGAACAGCAAACAACAAATGCTGACGAGGTTGTGGAGAAACTGGGACCCTTAAAAACTGATGGTGGAAGTGTAAAATGGTGCAACCACTGTGGAAGGCTGTATGGCGCTTTCTCAAAAAGTTGCCAATAGAGATACCATTTGACCCAGCAATTCCACTACTGGGAATATACCCCAAAGAGACCATAACTGACATCCACGCAGATATATGTACACCCATGTTTATCATGGTTTTGTTCACAATAGCAAGGAGTTGGAAGCAGCCTAAGTGCCCATCAACAAACAAATGGATAGAGAAGCTGCGGTGTATTCACACAATGGAGTACTGTGCTGCATTGAAAAACAAGGAACTCATGCAATATTATTCAAAATGGGTGACCCTGGAGGACATTATTCTGAGTGAAGTATCTCAGTCACAAAAGGATAAATACTGCATGCCACTGTTGTAAAACAGGACTAACCTCGGGGTTGAGGGGAGACTGAGAAAGATGGGTTCAGTAATGTATGCTGCATTGAAACAGATGAGGGAGAAAATTGTTTAAAAGGGATATGTGATTAGGTATTTTTGTCATGACAGGAGTCCAGGGCGAAGGCTGCACAGTGGAGTGGACCTGGGGGAGGAATTGTAAAACAGTGAAAGAATTTTTCTTTTACTTTTCCAAGAGGGTTGTGTACTAGGGGGGAGGGTAGGGAGGGGAGAAAAATGCAACAATGAATGAATGGAAATCCAAAGTCTCTGTAAATTTTTATTCAAATTAATAATAATTTTAAAAAATAAAGCAAACAAAAAAAAGACATCAACAGACTTGCTTTCAGTAATGGAAAAACCTGGAAGGCAGTGAGGTTTGGGGTTTTTTCTTTTCTGAGCCAGCCAGCTTTGGTCTGAGTTCTTTTCGGTAAACTTTCCCATCGATTTTCTGAGTAGTTGTGGGATGTCTTTAGGCATTTTTGCCCGGCTTAGTTCACTCAGCAGTGTCCTCAGCTTCCTCCGGGCTGTGCAGTGTTTTTCTGAGGTCTTCCTTACCATTCCGCACTGATACCTAGTCCTCCGGTGGTGGGGGCATGGTACATATGGAGTACTCCATGTGTGAGGCCCGTGGTTCATACCATCGTTCATACGTAGCACTCCATGTGTGCGCAGGCCCATGGTTCATACCGTGTGTGGGCGCCCTCGGTTCACGTATCCGTTCATCCGCTGTTGGACACAGGGGTTGTTTCCGTCTCTTTGTCATTTTGGGAATAGTGAAATGCCTCAGCTCTCATTACAGTGGGGTATATCTTAGCAGTGAGATTGCTGGACGACACACGTTCTCCTTTTTCTCTTGCATTTGGAACCACCAGGAAGTCCTATGAGTTTGAAGACTTGCTGCCATCCGCAGAGGGCAGCAGGGAGGACTGGTACGCCCAGGCCAAGCTGGGGCTCGCTCGCACTTTATCAGAGGAGAACGTCTACGAGGACATTCTAGGTGAGAGGCCAGTGTGGTGCACCTGGGATGCAGTGGTCAGGGCGGGGCGGGCTGCTGGACGGGGGGAGCCAAGCACACACACGATCTAGAAAATGCGAGTACAGGCGGAGAGGCCCCGCACGCACCAGACCCTGTGAGATGTAGACTCTCCGTGAGTGAGACACCAAGTGTCACGTGGAAGTGGGTACCCTAGGGCCAGATGAGGGCAGAGTGGAGGGAGGGAGAGCGGTGTGACAGGGAGACCATCTCTGTCCTGGTCAGCTGTGGACCCTGAGCCGGTGGCTTCACTTCTGTGAGCTGGCTCCTGGCCTGTGCCCCGAGGATGCTGATACCAAAACAAAGCAAGCCCCCTGCCCTCGTTTTGGCTTCAACTCATGACTCACTCGGGCGCTGCCTAGAATGCCCTGCAGGCTCGAGCTCTGTGGGCTCGAGCACCTCCTAGAACGCCGTGCGGGACTGTGGAGACGGGAAATCTTCGCAGAAGCGGACAATTGTAGCCTTCTCTCGAGACGTGGCTGGTGGGTTCGAACCACCAGCTGTTCCGTTAGCAGCCCTGTGCTTTACCCCCGTACCACCTGAATGCCCTCAGGTGCTGCTGGCCAGTGGTCTGAGTAGATGTCCAGCAAATCGTAGGAGAAAACCTATCATCAGAGAAACTCCAGACGCCAGACGCCAGCCCCCATCAGAAGTGTAAGGCCAGGGCACTGACTGTGTCACCGTGCGGATGGGAACACACATCTTGTTCACAAAGCCATGCAGCACGCAGGCCCACCTCTGTAAATTTTCCCTGAGGCCGAGGACGGCCTTGGCAGTCAGGCCCACGACTTGCTGTGAGTTAAGTCTCCTCCAGAAGAAGGAGTCTCCCCGAAGATCTCTCAGGGAAGCTCAAGTGAAGACTGGTAGGCGAGTAAGGAGCCCGCCGAGGAGGGCAGTGGGTACTTAGAGCAGGAGGGGTTGTCGGCTGAGCCACCATCACCATGGAGTAAACTGTCCTGGTGACTCCGTGGGGGTCAGGCTGGAACCGACTGGGCTCCACAGGGCTCTCGGTGGCCGCTTTTTAGAAGCAGATCCCCAGGCCTGTCTTCTGAGGCCCCTCTGGGTGAGTGTACACCTCCATCCTTGATGCCAGCATGGACTGTGTTCACTGAGTGTCCTCTGGGGCTCCAATTGTTTGGTGGCCCCTAAGAGTCACGGGACCAGGGTTCTGACGATGAGCGTCCCCCAGGCAGTGGGGTCCCAGCCTGCAATAAATGTGTGGTCTGAGCGTCTCAGCAGGCTCCCTATGACCCCTCCCATGGTGGTCCACCACGCCCTGGAATCCACACCCCCATGTTCATTCCCCTTCAGGAGAAGGCAGCCTGGGTCCCAGAGGCCCAGCATTGCTTGGGTCACTTTGGTCCATGCAGTTCCCAGCAAGGAATGTCATCCCCTGAGCTGATGCACAGGGTGGGGTGTGGGGCACAGATGGGCTGGTTACGGAGTGGTCTCCCAGACGCAGGGAGGATCCCCTGCCAGATCAGAGCCACACATGAGCACCCCCAAAGGGTCTGACACGAGGGTAGCCGTCGTGTCCTGGGTCGCTAACCATTACCTCTGACCGACTGCAGATCCTCCAGTGAAGGAGAACCCGTATGAGGACATCGAGTTGCATGGCCGCTGCCTGGGGAAGAAGTGTGTGCTGAACTTCCCTGCTTCCCCCGCCTCTCCCATCCCCGACGCGCCCTCCAAGGTGAGCCCAGGAGTGGGGCCTGCACTGGAGGGCCCCGATGGTTCCCCTCAGCTGCCGGGGTCTTCTGTCCTGTTCTCTTGGCTGCACTGCATTTTATGTGCTTCACAGACAATGCCTTTTTCACTGTTTGAAAGTCTATGACATCCCTGTATCAAGCCAGTCTGCCACAGTGTCCTTAGGATTTGCTCAGCTCATTTCGGGTGTCACGTGCTGGTCTTCCTCATAAGGTTTCTGACCATACTCAATGTCAGCACCACGCTGCCGCAAGCTTCCTAGACTGCTTGAACCACCCCCAGAACCTTCAAACTCATTTCCTTTGAGTAGGAACCAATTCATAGCTGACCCTCCAAAAGCTTTTCAGAGATTCAAAGTCACACAGGAGGAGATTGCCCATCGTTCTCGCATGTTGCAGCCAGTGGATTTGAACCACTGGAGAGGGCCACTCTTGGTTTAGCAGTGCCACTCCCTACAGACTTTGCCAGCAGAGCACCCTTCACAGACTACAGGAGTCTGAAAATACTGTTAATGCACCAAGAAGGCCCAGAAAACCACACGCCTCATTCTGCTGTGACATTGACTTTATTGTGGTGCCTGGAACTGAACCCACGATGTCTGCAAGATGTCTGTACCAAAGAATGGTCAGTGGGTGTCTGTGGAAGGGAACCAGTGCCATGACCAGAGCTGTTTCCTTCTCCAAACCTGTTCAGGGTAGGGCTCTGGTGGCCTCGTCCACGGGCAGCTGCGATGTTCACCCAAAGGTGGTGTCTGGTGGTTCAGATTCACCTGTGACTCCTGTGGGACCACGAGCTGTCTCTTCCTGTGCAATTTAGAGCTCCAAGAAGCCCCCTGGAGAGCCAGCTAGGAGTCGGTTTTGATTCAACAGCAGTTTTTATCCAGCCTTTATGCTGAGGAAGTCATCCAAGAAGCTGGAGTGTGTGAAGAGGAATGTGGCATCAGGATTGGGGAAAGATTCATCAACAGGCATTATGCAGATGACACAACCTTGCTTGCAGAAAGTGAAGAGGGTTTGAAGCACTTGCTGAAGAAGATTGAAGACTACAGCTTTCGGTAGGGATTATACTTGGACCTAAAGCAGAAATCCCCACAACTAGACTAATGACAGCAGCATGATGAATGGGGGGAAGATGGAAATGGCAAGGATTTATTTCTTTGGAACCCCAAATCACCCCCTAGAAGCAACAGGCAGGGAAGGAGACGGTGTAAGAGATCAGAAGGAAGACCCAGGGCTCCGTTCCCGCGAGGTCTCAGTGAGCTCTGACACCAAGGCTGGGTGTCACCGTCATCATTGGACAGCCAGCACTGGACAGCAGGAGAGAGGCCGGATACTGCCCAGTGACATGTCAGACAAATCCGACGACTCCCAGTACGTGCAGGCTGCCTGAGACCCTGAGGCCACCACCCAGCCACGCCACAACTCTGCTGCCCGCAGCTGGTGTCCAGGTGCCGCCCAGGAGCCACTGCCGGCGGCTCACTCCCTCCGCTGGGCTCATTGTCTGTTCTTTGGGCATCGGACACATCTGGGCCACAGCTGGGCTTCTAGAACTTGCAGCAGCTGCTCCTTCTCACCTCCCTCCTCGCTGGGCCTGCCACAAACCCCAGGAAGGCCTTCTGGGTCGTCTTCAGAGACTTCTCATTTGACCAGCCCCTGCCTGGTCCCAGCAGGATGGAAAGGTCAGTGAGGTGGCCCCAAAGCCGCGCTGGATGGCCCTCACGTCTATACGGCCTGCGCTCAGCGCCCTCGTGCGTGCTGGGGCGGGACTGCACCCACTGGGTGCCCACCAGCCTCTTCTCGGAAGGGGTCACCACAGGGGCGAGTCAAACCTCTTCTTTTTAAGAATTGTACTTTGTGTGATAGTTTACAAAGCACATTCACTTTCCACTTCACTTGGGTGAAGACCTTGCATCATGGCACTGCTGTAGTACATCCCCTCGATGTGACGCACTGGGCCCACGTCCTCCCTGGGTCGCTGGGTCCCTGGGTCCCTGGGTCAGGTCGCTCTGCCCTGAATCTTCCCACCTTCTAAGCTTGTTTTCAGGCAAATGCTGCCGTTTGAGTCAGTGTGGCTGATGGTACTGAGGGTGCCTTTCCCCCCCGAGAGGCCATTATTCGTGCCTTAGCCCTGCCTGTCCTTTTTCTGGACCCCAGGGTCTCGTTCAGGTCCAGCTTGAAGAATGTCTGAGGGCCATGCTCTCACGAGTGTCACTGGGCTGTAGCAGACAAGTATACCTGTGAAGTTTTGTGTCTTTGAATTTTGTTCTTTTGCTTTTCCTCCTCTGCCCAGGACTTCCTCCTGCCGTCCGATCAGAGTGGATGGTGGTGGTAGCCGGGCATAGATTGTTTCTCTGGGCTCTGCGTAGCGAGGGTCCCATTGATGGCCAGAAGGACAGACAGAGCTGTCTTGGAGAAAGTACAGCCACAGTGACCCTTGGAGGCAAGGATGGTGAGGCTTCCTCTCGTAGATTTTGGACATGTTGCCCAGAGAGGCTGTTGTTTGGAAAGGTGAAGGTCAGCTAAAGAGAGGACGCTCCCCCGTGAGATGAAATGATAGAGACTGCAGCAGTGTGTGTCAGAGATGAGGAGGACGGCACAGGATGGGACCCACGCGGCTCCGTGTAGAGCAGGACACTGCCCAGTCCTGAGCTGCCCACCTGGTCACTGCGGGAGTCCCTCTCTTTGAAGGTCTTTTGTCGCTGACCCTCTGCCTTACCAAGCATGACGTCCTCACCAAGCATGACGTCCTTCTCTGAGGCCTCCGGACGACCCTCGCTCCACACGCGAGGAGGGCTCCGCCGTCACTGGTACCACCCGGCCCCTCTTTGTTCTCATTTGAGCTGCTTTTCTCTTTCTGCCCACAGTCATCTAAGCCTGTGCTTTCCCGGCACAGTTCTGAGAGGAGGAACTTCAAGCTGTTGGACACTCGGAAGCCGAGTCGGGACGGCACCGTGTCCCCATCCCGGGTCAGCCCCCCCTCCACTCCTAGCAGCCCTGACGACACTGTCTTCAACCTTGGGGACCTGCAGAACGGCCGGAGGAAGAGGAAGATCCCCAAGGTGATGTGCGTCCAGCTCTGGCCCTCAGCGTTCAGCCCCGTGCTGTGTGGCCTTCACCACTGTCCCGTCCCAAAGCCTTTCATTCCCCCATTTCCCCGGCTCTGCTCCCTGCCATCAAGTCACTTCCAATTCCTGAACCTCCATTGAGTGTCCAGGGCCTGGAAATCTTTAGGGGATGATACCCACCTTGAGATAATGGGGTTGGTGTGTCAGAGTGAGACTGGCTCAGGATAGGGCAGTATTCAAAGCTCTTGTACACAGGGTCACTGTGAGTTGTAGGGGACTCGATGGCACGGAATAATAATGACCTCAGTGGCTTGTGGATTTGCACGGTTGGCCTTTCGGTTAATAGCCCGATGCATTGTGCCACCAGGAGTCCTTCCCACCGTTTGTGCCTAGGCTGTGTCTGGTGTAAATGTCCTGTGTATTTGCATCATGCAGCGTTTGTCCTTTGTGACTGACATCTCTCTCAGCACCTCGTTTCCACGGTCTGGCCGTGTGCTAACCTGGATCGGGGCCTCATTTCTCTTTAGGGATAGCATTCCGTCCTGGGCTGGTGGACACGGTCTGAGAACACCTGTGTGTGGTGAATTCCTCTGGGTACATACCCAGGAGTGGGGTCATCCGGATCCCTGCTGGTGCATTAAATGTCGGCCTGCAAACAGAAAGGTCGGAGCTTCAAATCCCCCAGCTGCTCCTCCGGAAAGGTGGACAGTCTCTTCCCACAAAGCTTTGTTGTGCGCTGAGTCACACTAGCTCAGCTGACCCTCCGGTGCGTTTGCAGAGGCTGTAAATCGAGTGAGAGAAGACGGCCCGTCGTTCTCTCACGGAGCAGCTGCTACACTTGAACCCAGTGTTGGCAGCTTAACTCCTTAGCGCTAGACCTCTAGGTTTAAAGCGTTGGGAATCCCGTGGGAATTGGCTGCAAGGCAGTGGATTTCGCATGGTGATTCCGTGTATAATTCGGTGAGGGACAGTCACGCTGACACCCGTTTTGGTCAGAAAAGGGGAGGGTTTTTCTCCCCTGAAGCCGGCCGCGGTCCTGGGGGGCAGAGCAGGAGCCATGAAGCCTGAGGAGGATTGTGGGGTGAGGGTGTGGGATGAGGCTCTGCACTGAGTGTCTGTGAGTGTCCCTCACAGAACAGACGTGGCTCGGACCCCCAGGTGTCTGGGATGGTCACCCTTCCCCACCCCGGCCTGGTGCCCACCAGAAGGCCCTGCCTGGGATCCGTCTCCTCCACTGTCCCTTCCTTTCCTGGCTTGGTTTGGATACCAGCTCCTTCCCCAACCCCAGGGACAGCTCTGCTGCAGATAGGGGGCCTCTGTCCCTGAGCCAGTGACGACGTCCACCAGCTGAGGCTGTCTTAGAGTGACCCACAGGCCACTGTCAGGGCAAAGACTCCCTGGCTCAGCCCTCCTGGAAGACACAGGTGGTGGGAGCCCCGGAGGCCTCTAACTGCCTCCCTGTCCTGTGTGCAGCTGGTGCTGCGGATCAACGCCATCTATGAGGCCCGGAGAGGGAAGAAGCGGGTGAAGCGGCTGTCCCAGTCCACAGACAACAGCTCAGGCCGAGGTAAGCCCACCCCCAAGGACACGCCCACCCGAGGACACGCCCACCCCAGGGCACGCTCACCCCCAGAGGGCCTGCCTGGAGTCCACTTGGGCCGTGGCACCTGGGAGTGCGTCTGCCCAGCTCTGCTGCCCAGGGTGGGGACCCCGGTGCAGAGTCTTGTGCCCCCTCCCTGCCATCCACCCACCTGCCCAAGCTCACTACTCCACTGATGCATGGCCCCCTCCCAACCTGAGTCCCCACGTGCCCAGCCTCAGTCCTCCACTGGCAGCACAGATTGGGCCTTAACTTTCTGTGATCACTTGATGTAATGACTGCATACCTGGGATGGCTTCGCTCACACACAAGCAGGGATGGAGATCCTTTGTGTTAGCTTGAAGGGACGGAGAGAAAACAGCCCTGAGCCTAGAGCTGGCCATGTGCAGCCACAGGTAGGGCTTGGGATGCAAGACAGCCCACGTCACACCTCTCCTGTCTTTGGTCCAGTGACAGATGAGAACAGCGAGTCAGACAGCGACACTGAGGAGAAGCTGGAAGGTGAGAACTATTTGTGGGCAGCAGGGGTGGGTCAGGGCCCCATGTCGGAGGACAGCAGGTTCTGGGCCCCCGGGAGTAAGCTGCACTGTCTGATCCCCCACTGCTCCCTGCCCACCCGGTACCCATCATACTGAGGTCCCGCTGTACTGGCCCACTGGCCTGCTTGTATGAGGTCTCATCCTGGCCCTAGCCTGTCAGGGATCTGCAGGACCACTGTGTCCTAGTGGTCAGTTGGTGTCACTCTGTAGTGGGTCCCCAGGACCCTCTCCCATCTTGGGTCTGAGCTGCATAGGTCCTGACCCAGAAGAGGTCAGGGTGGTCAGACGGGCTGCAGAGGAGGGTAGGGGCTGTCAATTTGCCCTGCTTGTCCATTCTCACATGGAACAAGTGTGTCCACTTCCCAGATGCTGGGGGACAGGATGGGGAGGGCACTGTTAGCCTATTCACATAGCTTCTCATCTGCATTCCACCCCAACCCACAGAGAAGACAGATCTTGTCAGACAAATTGAAAGACAGGGCATGGGTTGGAGGGACCAGATCCCCACCATACCCCACAGAGAAGACAAGTCTCAAGAGCTACAGCCTGAGGCCTGTGGGCAGAGCCATGTGCAGGAGCGGGACCCCGGGGATCTAGGGCCAACCCTGCAGAGGGAGCCTCCACAGGACAGCACTCAGGTCCCCCCTCCATGCCCTGCAGAGCTCCCTGCCTCCGTGCCTTAGGGAGCCTCATGGGTCAGCACCTGGGGCCCACCCTACTCCCCCTGTCCTGTGGAGGTTCACAGGGAAGCACTGGGGTCATCCCCCTCCCCACCCTCCCAGTGTCCTGCGGAGCCTCACAGGGCAGCACCCGGGGCCCCCCCTCCATGTCCTGCAGAGGCTCATGGGACAGAACCTGGGGTCCACCCGTGTGCCCCGTGGAGCCTGAGCCCACTGTCCTTGAGCTCTGCAGGAACCCCAGCACTCTTGGTCTACCATCCCGCAAGCAGGACGTTATCCTGACCCACTCTGCCCACAGCCCACAGCCAGCGCCTGGTCCACGTCCAGGCACGTCTGAAACAGGCCCCACGGTGCCCCCCACTGGACCGGGGGCTGCAGGAAGTCCAGGAGCGGCAGCTCTTCGAGTACTTTGTGGTCGTGTCGCTGCACAGAAAGCAGGGGACCACCTACGTGCCTGAGCTCACCCAGCAGTTCCCTCTGAAGGTACGTGGGCCGTCCGGGCCTCACTCTGAGTCAGGATACAGGGTATCATAGGGACCTCTAGCCTGCTCCTGACTGCCATTGGGTCCCTTCAAGCCAGTTCTGCTCCATCAAGCCCACAGGACAGAATAGACTGCCCCAGAGGGCTGCCCTGACTGTCATCTTGACCTGAGCAGAGAGCCACGGACGGTCTGAACCACCAACCTTCCCATTAGCAGCCGAACACTTCACAGAGCACCTGGGGTCCTCCTTGGAGTAAATTAGAGAAACAGTGCTGCTGGGGACAGGAGGGCCCTGGGAGGACAGCATCAGGACTGAGTGTCCACCGAGTCCACATCCCCTCTGACTCCCCGTCGGGGCTGAGTGCCCGCCGATCTCATGTCCTCTCTGACTCCCCAACTGTGTATCCAGCCATGACTCCTGGCTGCCCCCATAGCCCTACTCCCCTCCTTTGCTCCATGGACTCAGCTTTGCTTCTGTGTTCAGTGCGCCTGGCCCTGACCTCTGAGGACCTCCGTCCTGTGATTTGGCCTGGCCGTTGGTTGACTGCTGACCCCTGTAACCAGAGGGCACACATCCAGCCTTGGGTGGCCCGGCTGCTGGTGCAGGCGTCTGCTTTCTACCTGGCATGGTGAGGCCAGCCTACGTTCTGGTATCTCTGCTCCACAAATCCCTGAGGCTGGGAGGTCAGAGAGATGAGCTGAGCCCCCTCCTACAAGTGGCCATGTTCCTGGTGCTGCACCAGGTACTCGGGTCAGGGAGAGGCCGTGGACTGACTGATCAGACATGTCAGAGCTCATCCTGACTTCTGAAATTCTGTCCATGGGACACCGCCTGGACCCCCTTCGGTTCTGATGGCTGGCCACTCTAGAAGTAGTTGACTTTGACTGTTTCTCTATTGAAACCCAGATGGAGGGCGGCAAGGTGCTGGGAGAGCATCCCTAATTCCCTCCTCCATGTGACTGGAATAGCCCTATTCCAGAGCCCCTGGGTATGCAGGAAGGAGCCCGGCAGACAATGCTTAAAGAGCTCAGCTGCTAACTGAAAGGTCGATGGTTCGAATCCACTAGCCGCTCCATGGGAGGACGAGATGGTCTGCTCTCCTAAAGGTCACAGCTCTGGGGACCCTGTGGACACGCTCCTCTGTCCTTGGGTCATATCAGAGTAGACAGCAGCACTGGGGGTGTTGGGGCTTTTCTTTGAAGTACTGTTTCCCTCCTGACCCCCTCATCAGAACCACTGGGATTAGGGTGAGGACCCCCTTAGACTAAGATGCTCCCTGTCCCTCGGAGGGAGCTGAGGAGTGACCTCCTCGAGACCCCTTCTGCAGCCTGCTTCCCCCTTGGCAGCTGGACAGGTCGTTCAAGTTCATGCGGGAGGCCGAGGACCAACTGAAGGCCATTCCTCACTTCTGCTTCCCTGATGCCAAGGACTGGGTGCCCATCCAACAGTTCACCAGGTACCCTACCTCTGCCTGCTCACCCCAAATACGGAGACAAGACGGGGTGCTGCCTCTGCTCGCCCTGAAGATTTAGATGAAACAGGGTGTGGCCTCTGCCTTCACACCCCAAAGATAGATGAGAGACGGAGCTGTAGGCCCCTCTCCACGGAGCTGAGATGGGGCTCTCACTTCTGCCTCCTCACCCCAAAGATGGAGGCAAGGTGTGGAGGAGTCTGTCACCACTTGGAAGACAGAGACAGGAAGTGGGAATTAGGCAGCATCTCCCTCTCCCAACTCAAAGACAGAGATGAGAATGGGGGTGTTGGCCTCTCCCTTCCCCCAGAGTTGGAGATGAGAATGGTGGGGCATAGGTAGCAGTCTGCCTGGATTGAAAGAAGTGAGGTGACGGGTGTCTCCCGCAGCGTTTGTAGAACTCGCCTGACAGAGGGCCTTCATGAGGTCATGCCTGGCCTGCCCCCTCCAGGTGTTTGGTTCCTCCAGTCCATGCTGCCCCAGCCACGGCAGGACCTGTAGTGTCAGCGTTTGCAAGCTTGGATTTGAACACACCAAGTGTCCCTTGAAGTCACTACAAGGTCTTTAAGGACAGCCAGTCCTGCATTCCTGTGGGGGACCCGCTGCCCTCACAGCCACACTCTTGCTCAGCGTTGCCCTAGGCCCACCGAGACATAGTGCAAACCCTCCTCAGCTCAGAGGGAGCTCGGTGAGAGACCGAGGGCTGGAGACGTGGGTCAACTCAGTGTCAGTTGTTTCTGTGAACATTGAAATGCGAGGGCCAGGGCAGTATTCCTCCTTTCCTCTGGGGACAGGGTGATGTTTGACAGCTTCCCATGCTGATGCCCTGGCCCCTGGAGCCTGTGCACCTGCTGGTACTGCCATAGCGTGTGGTCTGTCTCCTAATGTGCTTGTTCCCCAACCGCAGTGAGACCTTCTCGTTTGTCCTCACGGGAGAAGATGGGAGCAGGAGGTTCGGGTACTGCCGCAGGCTGCTGGTGAGTGTGGCCGCGGAGCTCCCGGGTCGCGGGGTTGTGAGGCCAGGTTCAAGTCTTGTTGATAGATGGACACTGTCGCCTTCAGCCTCTGGGTACTGCACACAGTTGACATAGGTCCCGGCCAGAGGTGCCTCTGAAGAAAGGCCTGGTGGTCGATTCTGCAGAGTCGGCTGTTGACGAGCCCGGCAGCAGTCTTGTTCTGCCGCATGTGCTGTCACTGAGGGTCGGCACTGACTTAATGGCAAGCAGCCTCGCTGTCCTCTCCTTTGGAAAGAAAAGACCTTGTCTGTCATTTCCCCTCAAATCCGAGGCCCGGTCTCCGTCACCCGGGCGTCCCTGGTGTGAAGCCTGCCAGGTAGCGAGTCAGTGTTCGCTTTGGGCAGAGGAGTCTGCTGTCTTGATTCAAATAATTAGGAAAGTGCCTTTTACAACAGTCACTTTTAAAAGCCAGACCCTCTGCTGGAGTGACCATTTCAGGATGTGATACTTTAAAAATCTGCTGTTGTGGCAAGTCGTTTTCCATGGAATGTGCCTGAGTCTTAGGAACAGGGTGATGGAGTTGGGAGCACAGTGCTGGGCAGGGCACAGGGTGAGTCTTCCGCAGGGCTCTTGAACGAGTGAGGGGACAGAGGCGTGGATATGGAGGAAACAGGTCAGTGAGTTATTGCTGAAAGTGACTTGGAGACTAAGATACTGAGATGGGTTATGGTTTGGGTTTGAAAATTGACTTGAAAATTAATTTCAGAAGAGTTTCCCAAAGTGGCTTATGATTTGAGGTTATTTTAAGTAGCACAGTCTCAGTGTAACCTCTTCAGGGGACCCCAGTGATGTGTAAACACTCAGCCTCCCTGCTTTCTGGTTCTGAGGGTGTATTAAGCACCTACTGTGTGCACTGCACTTGATACTTGGAACCTTTGAGAAGATGAATCCCTCATGTGACCATCTGCAAAGTGGGAGTGTTGGTCCATGGGATAGTCTGCCTTCTCCAGAGAAGCAAGCAGTGAAGGAGGGAGGGAGGGAGGGAGGGAGCGGGGGTGCTTGTGTGCACACACGTTATTGTTGTTAGGTGCTGTCAGGTACACCTCACAGCGACTCTGAGCCCTGCCCGGTCCTTTCCATCTCTGACACACCTGAGCCCACTGCTGCAGGCACCGTGGCAGTCTACCTGGTTGAGGGTCTTCCTCTCTTCATGTAGACTTAAGATGCAGTCTGCGCTAGTACTGTCTTGTTAACATAGCGAAGAACGTGCGTTCCCAGATGGGCTCATGGCCGTAGTATAAACCGAATGGAAACCAAGGCCCTTGCCACTGAGTCAGCTCTGAAGCCTAGTGATCTTTAGCCCAGCAGGACCGCTGCCCACTGCGTTTCCAAGGCTGTGACCTTTCCAGAAGCACACTCTGAGCCGCTGTGGGGTTTGAACCTCTGACCTTTCAGTCACCCACGGTGCCCCCAGAGCTCCCGCAGCCGTGAGTGTGGGGGTCATGATTTGTAACACGGGCTCTCAGGAGACAGCGTTTAACAGCAGGACTGTGAAGACACTGGGTCTGTCCTGGCTCAGGGCTGGAGATGCTCACATTTCCTGTGTTTCTCCCCAAAGCCGAGTGGCAAAGGAAAGCGTCTGCCGGAAGTGTACTGCATCGTGAGCCGCCTTCGCTGCTTCAGCCTCTTTTCAAAGGTGAGGGTGCACCTCTGGGAGGGGCCAGGAGGGACAGCAGGGCCTGGACAGGACAGGAGAGTCCAGCTCCCAGGAGGAGAGTAGGGCATGGCAGGGCCTGGACAGGACAGGAGAGCCCATCTCCAGAAGGACACGAGGTGGGCAACAAGGCCTGGACAGGACAGGAGACCTCAGCTCCCCAGCGAGGACAGGAGGGAAGACAAGGCCTGGGTGAGACCAGAGACCCCAGCTCTAGGAAAGGATAATGGGCTGGTAGGGATTGGGCAAGGCAGGAGACCCCAGAACACAGGAGAGGACAGGAGGGATGGCTGCAGACAGCCAGGCCTGTGAGGCCACAGCTTCGGGAGAGGACAGGAGAGATGGCTGGCGACGGCCAGGCCTTTGAGGCCCCAGCTGGGGGACAGGACAGGAGCGATGGCCAGGGACAGCCAGGACAGGATGTGAGGTCACAGCTCCTGGTTCTTTAAAGAAAGCATCTGATTTTCTGTTTCCTCCCCACTTCCTGTCCTCACTTCCCCTCTGCTTTTTGTTGGAGAAGTAAGAGCTGGGAGACCTGGGCAGGGAGTACGGGCAAGGGCTGTGGGTGCACCTGTCATGAGGGACAGGGTGTCCTCCCAGGATATGAGGGTGTGAGATGCTTCACTCACGTGGGCTTGGCTCGTGCAAAACCCGCACTGCTTGGGTCCTGTTGAATATTGAGTGTTGTGTCCCTGCGTGTGATGTAGCCGGGAGTGCTCCTAACCCATCCAGACTAACTTGACGCTCCATTCCGGAAGCTAAGGGTGCACTGCTGCCGACTGAAAGGTTCTACCGACCAGCGGCCTCACAGGAGATGTTGAGGCTGACCGCTTCTGTAAAAACAACAGCCTTGAGGGAGCTCTGGTGGCCTAGTGGCAAAGAAACTGCACTGCAACTGCGAAGGTGCGCAGTTCAAATCCACTGGATGCTCTGCTTGAGAAGGAGGGGCAGTCGGATCCAATTTGACGGTACACACAAGAAAAAAAACAAACCCCACAACCTTGGAAATTCTTTCGAGAGAGCAGTCCTCCTGTGCCATTCAGTGACCTGAGCCGCTGTTGATGGCAGTGGTTCATCAAGACGAGAGAGATGCCCTGTCACACCAGTGCTCCCCTCCGCCGTGTGGACGGGCACGGGAGGAAGATCAGTCCCGTATGAGTCAGCCCTCCGGAGGGGCACGGCCTTGGAGTTCGCACAGCTCCCTCCAGAGCCCCCTCCCTGATGCTTACCACAGGTTCATGTCCCCGGCTGTGGGACAGCTAGACAGCAGGATAATACCCATGATTTTTTCACTGTGTTGGAGGGTATTTCTCCCATCAAGAATGTGTGCAAAGTCCTCCATTAAGGGGCTGGAGAAGGTTGTGAGGGGAGGAGAGGGTGAGGGGGTGGGTGTGCTATGATCTGACGTGTCCTGAGCCCTAAGAGGAGGGCTCCTAACAGTATAGCTTACTGTGTCCTTGCTGAGTTATTTGTTGTACATATTTGAATATTTTTATATTGATAAATAAAGTGAAGGCAATTTAAAAAAGAATGCATGCCAAGTGGACTGGGGAGAGGGAGGGAGGACTTGTGCAACAGTGACTGAATGAAGAAGCAGCATGTGTTTGAGTGATGACTGCAGTTAAACGCAGTGTCCGATCCACAGTTGGGGTGTCCTGCCTTTTCCTCACCCAGCCTCGCCAGCGTCTGTTACGTGTTTACTCGGCTTTGCTCCCCGCCCCTTGCCCATCTCTGGAAGCCATCCAAGAGAGATTCAGCCAAGAGGGCGTCTGTGTGGTCATCTTTCCTCTCTCTGGTCGTGGTATCATATGGTGTTTGTCCTGTTGTAACTGACTGCCACAGATTCCTCTAGGTTCGTCCGTCGGTGTTGTGCGGTGTTTTGTGAATTCTGTGTAGTCTGTTGTCTTGGAACTGACTCCCGGCTGTCCTTTCAGTAGGTTTTCAGAGGCTGTAAATTGCATGAGTGTGCTCGTCTTTCTCCTGCACGGCAGCTGGAGGATTTGAACCCCCTGCCTTTGGATTGGTAGCACAACTCTTTACCCACTTGGCCACCAAAGCTCTTATAGCTCTGTTATTGTGTTATGTGCCATCAAATCGGCACTGACCTTCAGCAGACCTTCCGGCGAGCTTTCAGAGGCAGTAGATTGCACGAGAGGAGAGTGTCCATTCTCTTCACGCAGAGAGCTGGTGGATTCGAACTATGTGCCTTTGGGACTACATCACAGCTTCTTAACCACTAGGCCACCAGAGCTCTTATAGCCCTTTAGTGTTATTTAATACTCCATATATTATTTAATTTATGCAACCATTTGTCTATTGATAGACAAATGGGTTCTTTCAATCTCTGCTATTCTGAATAATACTCCAATAAACACAGGTGCATATTTTTTGATTGAGATTTTAATAAAAGTTTATAGAGAACTTGGATTCCCATTCATTCATTGTTGTACTTTTTTCCCTGCCCACCCCGCCCCCTCAGTACGCTTTTCTCTTTGGGAAAAAAAAATCCTTCACTGTTATATAGTCCAGTCCACTTTACTATGCAGTTTTTACTCTGGACTCTTGTCATGCCAATAATACTTAATCATATATTCCTTTTAAAGAGTTCTCTCCCTCGTCTGTTTCAAGGTTATGTACATTATTTGTCCCCTCTTTTCTTAGTTTCCCCCCTACTTGCATGTCAACCTGTTTTATAACAGTGGCATTATGCAGTATTTGTCCTTTTATGACTGAGATATTTCATTCAGCATAACGTCCTCCATAGTAATCCATTTTATATAATAGTTCATGAGTTCATTGTTTTTCAGTGCTGCGTAATATTCCATTGTGTGGATATACCACAGCTTCTCTAGCCATTCATTTTTTGATGGGAACTTGGGTTGTTTCCAACTCTTTGCTATTGTGAACAAAGCAACAGTAAACATGGGTGTGCATATATCTGCTTGGTGGCGGTTATGGTTTCTTTAAGGTAAATTCCCAGTAGTGGAATTGTTGGGTCAAATGGTGTTCTATTTCCAACTTTTTGAGAAAGTGCCATACTGCCTTCCATAGTGGTTGCACCATTTTACACTCCCACCAACAGTGAATAAGCATTCTAGTCTCGCCACAACCTCGCCAGCATTTGTTGTTTTCTGCTCTGCTGAATTTTGCTGTTGTTACTGGGGTGAGATGATGTTATTTTGACAGGTGCACATTTTTAAAAATAGAATTTGTGCATTGGCCCAATGGGCCATGCAGCCTTTTCCAAGGTCAAGGGGAAAGGAACTCTCCTTCCTTTTGTGGGGCCAGCAGAGCCGCGTGACAACGGGAGCAGGTGGCCTGGAGATACTTAGGTCAGTATGTGCAGGTCAGAGCTTCGAAGGGCTGCTGACCAGGCAGGTCTAGGCTTACCCTCAGCTCCTCAGTCCCCAGCCCCACATCAGAGCTGAGGCCCTCAGCCTGTGGTCAGCACAGCCCCATTGCCGCTCTGGCCTTGCAGATCCTGGATGAGGTGGAGAAGCGACGTGGCATCTCTCCTGCCCTGGTCCAGCCCTTCATGAGGAGCGTGATGGAGGCGCCATTCCCGGCCCTGGGCAAGACCATCGTGGTCAGGAACTTCCTGCCTGGATCAGGGAATGAGGTAGGCCACCAGGCCCTGTCCTCCCCAAGCCCTGTCCCCGGGTTGGAGTGCACTGTGCCGCCTGCACCCTGTCACCCTCTCCACTCCTCGGGCCTCCTGGGCCAGGCCACCTGGGCCAGACCATCCGCAGACAAGGTGCCTCTCCTCCCAGGCATGACCACACCCTGCAGCCAGGACTGGTCCCGGTGAGCCCAAGGCTGGGCTGTGGGCTCAGGTGCTGTCAGGGAGCAAGGGCCTGGGCCCAGAGGGACACCCAGGAAACCAGCTTCTCCAGCAGCCCGTTATCTGGGTGACTGTGGCTCTTGCATCCACCCATGTGGCTTCCTCAGGAAACCCAAGACCTGGTGCTGCTTTTGCCCGGCCCAGCCCTGGTCACTGCCCCTTCCCTCGGATGGGATAGGGATTGGTATAGCCACTGGCTTCATCTTCCCATGTTTCTGTGGTCTGTGGTCCACACAGACACACACCAGGTGGTCACCACATTCTACCGCCCCAAGAAGGCTAAGATCCTTGTGTATACCCGCATCCCCTCGCGGCTGCCCCTCCACACAGGTGAGGTTTGTAGACCAGGCTCCTTATTTATGCCCCACCTCTGGCAGGTGATTGAGCTGTGTCGCCCCCTGGACTCCCGGCTTGAACATGTGGACTTTGAGTCTCTCTTCGCTGCCCTCAGCATCCGCCACCTGGTGTGTGTCTTCGCGTCGCTGCTTCTGGAAAGGAGGGTCATCTTTGTTGCAGACAAGCTCAGGTACCAGCCTTGGCCTCGTGTGACGTGTTCACGGTGGACGGGCCCTCCTAGGGCCAGGCCTGCGGCTCAGTCCACTCCACAGGGCAGGGTGTAAGTGACCGAGGCTGGGAGGCCAGGCTCAGTGTCCATGTTGATCACCCTGCACCCTTTTGCTGCTCACAGGTGGACATGGGGGGGGAGGGAGAGAGAGAGAGTGTGTGTGTGTGTGTGTGAGTGTGGATCAGCCTGATGTGAACATACGTATTAGAGTATGCAGTATGAATGTGGGTATGCACCATCAGAGTGCTCTGGTGGCCTAGTGGTGAGGAGTTGCACTAATAACCTAAAGATAGACAGTTCAAATCCACCAGCTGTTCCTTGGGGGAAGGATGGGCAGTCACCTCCCATGCAGTTTGCTGCCTCTGAGAACCGCTGGAGGGTCAGCTGTGGGTGAGTCCCACCTCAGTGGCACGTACTGATGATACATTACGGTGCGTGAGACGTCTAACGGGGTGGGTGAGTAAGTGTGCTGTGATTGCAGTGTGACTGGGTGTAGGTGGCGTGTGTGATGTGGTCAGTGTACATGTGTGTGGTACAGATGTCTGCATTTGGGTATTAGAGTGTGGTAAGTGTGTGTTGTATGAGTGTTAGAGTGTAGCGTGTGTATGTGAGTGTGAGATTAGTGTGCCACGTGTACAAGGGCGTGTATAGTGTGAATGTTGTGGCAGTGCACTGTGAATGTATGTTGAGTATCGGTGTTTGTGACACTTGTGATGTGAGTGGGAACTTGTGGTGAGAGTACTTTGTGTGTAACATCTACAAAGAATGCAGACGGTCTTGACGCAGACAGAGGAAGAAGACAAGACCGAGACGGACGTCAGAAGAGACTGAGTATTGCAGTAGAGCGCTGAGAAGCCATGGCAAAGGGAAGAAATCAACATGTTAAGAAGCCAAACAAACAAAAAACAAACAAACAAAAAAAAAGAAGCGAAACAGAAGGTTTCAAAGGGCAGCGTGGGAAGACAAAGCAAAGTATTGTAATGAAATGTGCAAAGAGTTGGAGTCAGAAACTAAAAAGGTCTGAGATCTCTCGGCATTTCTTAAGTTGAAGGAACTGAAAAACAAGTTTCAAGTTACAATACCTACGGATGGTTTGGGCAGAATATGAAATGATCCAGGAAGCACTAAAAGAAGGTGGAAGGAGTACATAGAGTCGCTGTACCAAAAAGAATTGACAGACACAGAAGAATTCATGAAACAACCTTGGACTTGAACCACACACTTCTGGGATTGCAGTACAGCAAGGCTGTGCTTTGGGAGCAGTGTCTGGCCACCTGGTTCTGACTGACTTATTGGTAAGCTGCAGTGGTGGGTTCTTTGGCTTGGACCACATTTAACAACCATGGCTTCATGACATGATCTCTGGTTGCTGTCCTTGGCCTGGGAAGAACTGTGAAGGACACGTCCTCTGGCCTGGGAAGGTCCGTGAGGGACCTTTACCCTAGCCTAGGAAAGTTCATGTGAGTGACCCGTTCCTTAGCCTGGGAAGGCTTGTGAGGGACCCGTCCCATGGCCTGGGAATGACCCTGAGGGACCCTTTGCCCTGGCCTGGGAAGGTCCATGTGAGGGACCCAGCTCCTGGGCTGGAGTACCATGAATTACTCATCCCTGGCCTGGGAAGGCCTGTGAGGGACCCTCCACCAGGCCCAGCTCCATGTTGACACTCAGCACAGGAGGAATAACCCAGCCTCATCTCCTGTGTCCACTGGTGGCCCATCTCTGGGAGACCACAGAGCAGAACATGCCACACACTGAGCGTGGCGTTACTGCCCAGCGTGGCCCTTAGTCACTGCCCCATCCTTTCACCCCCGTGACTGATTTGTCATGCCAGCAAGGAACGTGGCCAACCCTGAATGTTGTCTAAAGAGGTTTTAAGTGGAGCCAAAATTCTTACAGATTTAGACTAACACCGTTGCCCCCTTTCATCTTCGGAGTGGACACTGAGTGTTCTGTAAAGCCAGCCAAGCTCATGAGTGATGGATGGAAAACAATGTTGTGGCGATGGCCTGTGCTGTTGTCATAGCATCCTAAACAAACATTTCCCTGGACCTATCCTTCCTGACAAATAACTTGATGATTAATACTTTGCATTGCAGCTTATTAGTTCCAGTTCCCCAGTTTTGGCTAAACCCAACCGGTTAGATAATAAAGTTAGCCGACTGAGCACACACACATGTACCAAAGTCACATGCCCTTTGTCAGTTCCAGGCCATGGTGACCCTGTGCCCTGCCCTCAAAGCCTCACAGCCTCGGTTTGAGCCCCTCGGTCAGTCTCGGAGAGGCTCATGCTTCTCAATTCTCCCCCAGGCTATTCATGTCCTCTGCTAACATGTCCACAGTGCTTAAACACATGTGTCCCGAAGTTTTCTCTCTTTCACATAGCTTTACTGAGACATAATTTACACATCATGACATTCATAAGGGAGCCCTGGTGGCCTGTCGGAGGAGTTGCCAAGCCCGGATTTAGGGTGCCGATTTGAGGGGAGGGGCTTCTCTGGATGGTGGTCTGTCTCATTCAGCATCTGTAGGCTCTGCTCCCTGAGGCCTCCCTGTGCCTGGTCCTTCCTGTGCTGAGGAGTTTCCCAGCACAGGACCTGCACCCAGAGCATGCGCCCGCTCCTGGTGACTCTTTCTTGTTGGCTGAGATGTCTCTCTGTGCTTGCTTTCTTCCTTTTCATCTCTTAGGAGATGAAAGACGCTCCAGGTCACACACACCCTCAACCCAAAGGAAATCTCATGGGCTAGTGGTAAGGAGTTTCACTGCCAACACAAAGGCACACAGTTCAAATCCACCATCTGCTCCTTGGGAGAATGATAAGCAGTCTCCTGCCATGTGATTTACTGCCTCTGAAGACCCACTGGGCAGAATTCAGTCCTGCTAACAGCAGCACCCACCCCAGCGAAACTGCATCCGCTCAGGACCATCACAGGGGTAAGGGCATTGCATCCTCCCTTTAATCCTTGTATGACTTCTTGATGTTTCAGACCATAGGGGAGCATTAGACAACGCCCACGTGACATCACTTGTTGTTGATTGCCATCTAGTCGAACACAACTCATAGCAACTCTATGAACAAAAGGCCTGAATCCTTTCTAAAGTTCATAGAGTTTCCAGAGGCAGACTTGTGTGTACTTTGGGAGAATATGGTTCTGTCCATGATAGGTAGCATTTTGTAATAGTTAAGAAATGTACTCTTTATCGTTTTGTGGCATGTTAACCTCTCAACAAGTGGCCCTGAGAAGAAGGATCGGTAGTCAAGTCTTGACAAAAACTTGCATCTGACCTTGGCTTTGGCCTGTGGGTGACTTTCCACATGGGCTGTTGTGTGCACCTTCACTCTAAAGTGTCCCTAGTTGCTTGTCAAGAACTAGCCTACACTTTAATGGGCTTCCCTAGCCTCTCTCGAACCCACTCACTCAACAGTGTCTGCTGCCTCTGAAGAAAGCTTGGTTTGTGAGCGCATCTTCTGGACAGAGGAGTTTGCCCAAGACCACGCTGGAGCTGGAAGTCTTGAAAGTCAGTGCATTCAAGCCAGCAAAGTCCTGTGAGAAATACTACTTTAATAACATAGTCACATCGCCTGCAACATAGTCTGCTTGTATGTATAGTAAGAGTTGTTGCTGTATCATCAAGCAGGTTTTCAGAGGCAGAAAATAGCACAAGAGGAGGTAATCCATCTTTCTGCCGTGGAACAGGCGGTAGATTTGAACCACGTGCCTTTAGGATGGCAGCACAGTGCCTTACCTTTAGGCCACCAGAGCTCCCTACACTAAGGGTTAGCTTCCTGTATCTGCATCTGAACAGCAGGCGGGCAGCATTGGAATCAGGCTTGAGAGCAGCAGTGCCCTGGTGGTCACCAGCTCCAAGCCCACCCTGCTGTCGTGTTTTGGTGTTAGCACTGATTTAGCCTCTGGGACCACAGGTGTGGGGGCGGGGCTCCACCTCCCACAGTGTATGCACCTGCACACCCCTCCCCGAGGACCCTCAGGGAGCTTCCTCCGCATCCCTCGGCTGACGGCTTCTCTCTGCCCACAGCACCCTGTCCACGTGCTGCCACGCGGTGGTGGCGCTCACCTACCCCTTCACCTGGCAGCACACCTACGTCCCGGTGCTGCCGCCCTCCATGATCGACATCGTGTGCTCGCCCACCCCCTTCCTCATCGGGCTGCTCACCAGCGCTCTGCCGCTGCTCCAAGAGCTGCCGCTGGAGGAGGTGAGTGCAGGGTGCTGGGGGAGGTGGGCATGGGGGAGGTGAGTGCAGGGTGCTGGGGGAGGTGGGCATGGGGAAGGTGAGTGCAGGGCTCAGTGGGAAGTGGGCATGGGGGAAGGTGAG